ATTACTTAGGTGGGCTGAACTGGAATGACCTGACTAAGGGTCAGGTAGGTGGTGATGGTTGCCGATATGACGCTTTCCAGGGCATAGTTCTAGATGCTCAGTCAAATTATGTTCCAAATAGGGAAATCAGATCAAACAAAAAATGATCCTAAATGGATGAACAATAGATTAAAATATCTAATTGGTCAAAAGAGAGGCATATATAGGCAAATCAAAAGAGGGGAGGGGCAATTAAGAAATCGATATATTCAGTTAAAGAGAGAAATAAAAAAAGGAATTAGAAAAGCAAAAAGAGATTATGAGGTTAAAGTTGCAAGAGATTCGAAGACTAACCCAAAAGGATTCTTTTAGGTATACAGAAGTAAGATCAGGGACAAGATAGGTCCACTCAAATGTTCCTCGGGTCAGCTCATGACAGTGATAAGGAAATGTGTAGAAGTTTTAAACACATACTTCCTCTCAGTTTTTACACAGGAGGATACCAGCGATATTCCAGAAATGATAAATTATGTGGAACAGGACGATAATAAACTGTGCACGATTAGGGTCACAGTGACATGGTCCTTAGGCAAATAGATAAATTAAAACCTAACAAATCCCAGGCCCTGATGAACTGTATGCAAGGGTTCTAAAGGAATGTAAAGAGGAGCTTAGCAAACCTTTGGCTAATCTTTTCAACATATCACTACAAACTGGCATGGTGCCAGATAAGTGGAAAATGGCAAATGTGATACCTATTTTCAAAGCAGGTGACAGGTCCTTAGCTTCGAACTATAGACCAATAAGCCTAACCTCCATAGTGGGAAAATTTATGGAATCAATAATTGCCGAGGCAGTTCGTAGCCACCTTGAAAGTATAAATTATCAACGAATCTCAGCATGGTTTTACAAAGGGGCGTTCCTGCCTTACGAATTTATTAACTTTTTTCACTAAGGTATTTGAGGAGGTAGATCATGGTAATGAATATGATATTGTGTATATGGACTTCAGTAAGGCTTTTGACAGGGTCCCACATCAGAGACTATTGAGGAAAATTAAGGCACATGGAATAGGAGGAGATATTTTTTCCTGGATAGAGGCATGGTTGACAAATAGGCAGCAGAGAGTTTGCATAAATGGGGAGAAATCAGAGTGGGGAAGCGTCACGAGCGGTGTTCCACAAGGATCAGTGTTGGGCCCCCTGCTGTTCACAATATACATAAACGACATAGATGAGGGCATAAAGAGCGACATCAGCAAGTTTACCAATGACACCAAAATAGGCCGTCGAATTCATTCTGACGAGGACATTAGAGCACTCCAGGAAGATTTGAATAGACTGATGCAGTGGTCGGAGAGGTGGCAGATGCAGTTTAATATAGACAAATGCAAAGTTCTAAATGTTGGACAGGACAATAACAGTGCCACATATAAACTAAATAATGTAGATCTTAATATTACGGATTGCGAAAAAGATTTAGGAGTTCTGGTTAGCAGTAATCTGAAACCAAGACAACAGTGCATAAGTGTTCGCAATAAAGCTAATAGAATCCTTGGCTTCATATCAAGAAGCATAAATTATAGGAGTCCTCAGGTTGTTCTTCAACTCTATACATCCTTGGTTAGGCCTCATTTAGATTATGCTGCACAGTTTGGTCACCGTTTTTACAGAATGGATATAAATGCTCTGGAAAATGTACAAAGGAGGATGACAAAGTTGATCCCATGTATCAGAAACCTTCCCTATGAGGATAGACTAAGGGTCCTGAATCTGCACTCTCTAGAAAGACGTAGAATTAGGGGGGATATGATTGAGGTGTATAAATGGAAGACAGGAATAAATAAAGGGATGTAAATAGTGTGCTGAAAATATCTAGCCTAGACAGGACTCGCAGCAATGGTTTTAAGTTAGAAAAATTAAGATTCAGGAAGGATATAGGAAAGTACTGGTTTGGTAATAGAGTTGTGGATGAGTGGAACAAACTCCCAAGTACAGTCCTAGAGGCCAGAACGTTGTGTAGCTTTAAAAATAGGTTGGATAAATACATGAGTGGGTGTGGGTGGGTGAGAGTTGGACCTGATTAGCTTGTGCTACCAGGACGGTTGCCGTGTTCCTCCCTTAAGTCAAGGTGACCTGACCTGACTAGGTTGGGTGCATTGGCTTAAGCCGGTAGGAGACTTGGACCTGCCTCGCATGGGCCAGTAGGCCTGCTGCAGTGTTCCTTCGTTCTTATGTTCTTAAGAAGCATGATTGCAAATCACTTAGATTCCCTATAACTGCACAATCCAGGGCAGCATGGGTTTAGAGCAGGTCGATCCTGCCTCTCGCAACAACTAGACCACTATGATATGGTCTTGGATGCACAGAAAGGCAAACAGAATGCAGGTGTAGTATACACAGATTTTGCAAATGCCTCTGACAAGTGCGATCATGGTGTAATAGCGTACAAAATGCGCGCTAAACGGAAAACTGGCCAAGTGGCCAGATGGATCTACAACTTTCTAACCAATCGAACACAAAGAGTAGTGGTAAACAAATCGAAGGCCGCCACAGTTTAAAGCTGTTCCACAAAGCACAGTACTTGCCTCCATCCTGTTCCTCATCCTCATATCAGACAGACAGAAAAATACACCATAGCTCCGTCTCCTCCTTAGCAGACGATACTATAATCTGCATGAGACTGTCATCCATTGAGAACACGGTAAATCTCCAAGCATACATAAACCAAGTTTTCCAGTGGGAAACAGAAAACAATATGATGTTCAATGAGGACAAATTTCAACCACTCTGTTATGGAAGACTGGAGAAAATAACGTGTCACTATCACATTGCGAGGAAAATGATATGGGTAACGAGAACCCTCAAAACAAGGGATGCCAAGCCAATGATGATCCTTTTTAAATCACTTTTCTCTCTTGGCTGGAATACTGCTGTACACTAACAGCTCCATTCAAGGCAGGTGAAATCGCAGATATAGAGAATGTACAGAGAACCTTTACTGCACATATAGCTTTTATCAAACACCTTATTACTGGGAACGCTTTGAGTCACTTGATCTGTACTCACAGGTGTGCAGGTGAAATATATCATAATCTATACCTGGAAAATCCTGGAGGGACTGGTCCCAAATCTGCACACATAAATCACTCCTTGCTAAAGTAAAGTCTGGGCATAGTGCAACATACCCCCAATGAAAAGTAGGGACGCCAATGGTATACTAAGGCAAAACAATAAATGTCCGGGGCCCAAGACTGTTCAAGAGCCTCCCATGAGGCATAAGGGGAATTACCAAAAGACCCCTGGCTACCTTCAAGAGGGAGCTTGACAGATGCCCAAAGTCAGTACCCAATCAGCTGGGATGTGGTTCGTACGTTCGACTGCGTGCGGCCAGCAGTAACAGCCTGGTTGGTTAAGCATTATCCACCGGGAAACCTGGTCGAGGACTGGACCGCGGGGGCGTTGACCCCGGAACACCCTCCAGGTAGGTAGATTCTCCTAAGTCTATGATGTGAGTATGAAGGTTACGATGGGCTATGCAGGCATTTTTTCCATCTTGTAGGCGTGTCTGAAGGTCTCGGCCACTCTTCCTGACAGAATTTGTCATCCGCCCACAGTCTGCTGTTACCCTTCTGTTTTCTCTGTAGGGATGACAAATCTATGTAGGAATACTCTTTGGGTGTGTTGTGTATGAAGAAGACTTTCTGTTTACAAGAGTAGATAATGAAGTGGGAATTTGATAGTAGCGAAAATATCCTTAATATATATTTATTCTTTTAAAAGATATTCACTATTACCAATTTTAAGTGTTCGGAGGAAGAATGACCTCGAAACCTGATAGGTTTTGAGGTCATGGTGGGAGAAGTAATGAACCAGCTTATCTTTATTGGTTGGGTTTCTGTTTTTTGTGATTCATACAATAAACATAATAAACTTCGTGGTGACACTAGCCCCGCCCCGTACTCTCACCAGGACCTTCACCTCACCAGCACTTGATCTCACCTTTAACCGGTCTTCCTGAGTCTGACCAGTATTTCCACGTCTCCGGTGATGTCTTGTTTGCCAATTTCTTCTATGAATGGTATACACCATGCTGAGAGATGATAATTCCCGATATTTATTTATTTCATGAGCGTACCGCTAAACCAGCAAGGATCTAAGAAAGAGTAGGCAACTCTTAATATCCTGCTCAAAAACCATTTACAGACGTCACAGCACCTCCTCTAATTAAAGGGTCCCAAGTAATATCAACTCCAGTATAGCTGGAACGAAAATTATGAAACTCCAGTAGCTGTTGAACATTTAATGGAATATGAAAGACACAAACTGCAATCACTTAAGGACATTTTTAATGGAAGTGTTTCAGTCTTAGGACCTTGTCACTCCAAACTTACATTTGGAGTGATCAGAGTACCAGAACCTAAAAGTTTGTACTGAACATGTTTTACAGTGATTGTATTTTGTCTTTTTTTTCACTAGTCGGTATCATATACCTTTATATTCATCTTAATGGAATACTTGACAATATTTTCACTGACCCATCTGAAGTCTCCCACGTCTGGCTGAGATTTCAGCATTATATGTGAAATTCATTGTGTGATGGAATGACAGGAAGAAAAAAAAACATAGCCACCTTTCCTACCCAATATGTAACTATCATATAAATTAGTAGTTAGTACACTACTGATGTAGCCAATTTTGCTAAAAAAAATAAATAAAACGCAGTCTCCTCTTACTAAACAGTAACCAGGTCGAGACCGTCTATTTGTTTTTTTCCATTGACAGTATTATGCATTACGCTGACTAATTTATTATACAATACATTGCGGCTAAAGCAAGAATCCATTTCAAATGGATGCCTTCATACTGTTAGAAGGGATTTTAATCCAAATAATCGGAACTTTCTTGAATTGAACCCGAGTACCTTCTATTCCCCATGCGATGTATGACCTCTGTTGGTTTAGCGCTTCCCTGCGAAAACAAATTAATACTAATTAAAACAAGAGTAGAGTAATGACTTAC